CAGAGCTCAGATTCAGATCTAGGGTTTTGGATTAGGTGGAGGAAGATTCAGTTTGAAGCTTGGTTCTTGGAGTTCTAGGCTTTGGTGGAGTTAGGGTTTGAAGTTGCCGTTGAAGATCTCGCTTTCCTCGTGTGGTTAGGAGTTCTATTTGGAATCCAATCTAGGGTTCAGTTGGGTAATTTCTTATTCTTTCAAAGTTTGGATCTTTCTCTACAATTTGGAAGTTGTGATTATGGGTGAAGTAATTGGTGAAAGCAGCAAGATGACAGGCACAGTTCAAGTGGGTTTTCAGAACACTAAGATTAGTGTTGTGAAATATGACGGCAAGATCAATTTTGGTTTGTGGATGAGCGACGTACAGGATGCGCTCAATGCTCAAAATCTGGAGGAGACCATCATGGTCGATGTGAGGCCACCTAAATATGAAGAGGCGATATGGGAAAAGATGAATCGAAATGCTTACGGGGTGATCAGGTCCTGTTTGGAACAGGAGCTGAAATACGATGTGATTGGGGTGACGTCTGCAATGAAGATGTGGGAGATTCTCAACAACAAGTATCTCACGAAGAGTGTTGAGAACAGGTTGCACTTACTGCGAAGATTATTCAGATTTCAGATGTCCAGAGACACCTCGCTTGCGGCTCATGTGAACAACTATACTAAGTTGTTGTCGGACTTGGCGAACGTGGATGAGAAGATCACAGATGAGTACAAGGCTATTATTCTTTTGGGCTCCTTACCGGATGAGGAGTATGATACCTTCGTGCTTACGTTGTTGAATGGAAGATCTTCTATCACTTATAGTGAAGTGACTAACGAGTATGATACCTTCGTGCTTACGTTGTTGAATGGAAGATCTTCTATCACTTATAGTGAAGTGACTAACGTATTGATGAACTATGATTTGAGAAGGAAGGATAAGGAGACTTCCCGCGCTAGTACTTCAGGAGAGGCCTTGTCGACGAGAGGTAGAAGCTCATATCAGAAAGGTGGAAATAGAGGGAGGTCAAAGTCAAGAGGTCGTCACCAGCTTGGAAAGAACCAATGTGTATTCTGCAAAGAGCAGGGACATTGGAAGAGAGACTACCCGGAAGTTAAAGAAAAGGAGAATAGCAAGAATAAGGGCCCGAAGGCCAATGAGGTGAATGTTGCGAAAGGCGATGATTCCGATGATTCGAGCTTTTCTCTTTTGATTACTCCGGAGGTGAACCATTTGGATGCATCGGAGTGGATGCTTGATTCTGGCGCTACTTATCATGTGACTCCTAGGCGAGATTGGTTCTCATCATTTGAGAGACTCGATGGGGGTGTTGTGGTCATGGGAAATGATCAATCCTGTGGCGTTCGTGGGATAGGTACTGTGAGGATTCGGATGCACGATGGAGTAGTCCGTGAGCTGAAGGAGGTGAGATTCGTTCCTTAACTTAAGAAGAATCTTATCTCAGTTGGGGCTTTGGAGGCGAAGGGATTTAGGGTGACCTTTGAGGATGCTGTAGTGAAGGTTACTAAGGGATCTTTGGTGGTGATGAAGGGAGTCCGAAATCATAATTTATATTATCTGAAGGGGAGCACCGAGATTGGCCAGGTTGCTTCGGCTATTTCAGAGGCGGACATGAGCAGACTTTGGCAACATGAGCAGACTTTGGCATTACAGGTTAGGGCACACAGGAGAGAAGTCACTGCAGGCTTTGTACAAGCAGGGGCTATTAAAGGGAGCCAAGAGTGGAAATATTGAGTTCTGTGAGCACTGTGTTCTTGATAAGAAGACAAAGGTGAAGTTCGGGACGGCCATTCATAGGACGAGGGGCATCTTGGACTACGTGCACACAGATGTTTGGGGTCCCACCAAGACGACATCACTTGGTGGTCGACATTGGTTCGTCACATTTGTTGATGACTATTCTAGGCGTTGTTGGGTGTACACCATAAAGCATAAGAGTGGTGGAAGAAGAGATTGAAACTGCAGACTGGGAGAAAGATCAAGACGTTGCGATCCGACAACGACGGCGAGTATACTTCAGACCCCTTTCAGCAGCTATGTCGAGACGAGGGCATAGAGAGGCACTTCACAGTTAGTCATACACTGCAGCAGAATGGGGTGGAAGAGAGGTTAAATCGGTCTTTGCTGGAGAAGATTCGATGTTTATTAGCGCATAATGGTTTGGAGAAGATCTTTTGGGCTGAGGCACTTTTTTATGCGAGCCACCTCATTAATAGGCTGCCTTCATCTGCGATTGAGGGGAAGACCCCTATGGAGATGTGGTCGGGAGAGACAGCACATGACTATGACCAGCTTAAGGTATTTGGTTGCCCTGCATATTATCATGTTAGAACTGATAAGTTGGAACCTCGAGCTAGGAAGGCCATATTTGTAGGATTCAAGCGTGGTGTCAAGGGATACAAGCTTTGGGATCCAGTTGATAAGAAGATTGTGCTGAGTAGGGACGTCACATTCGATGAGGCTTCTATCTTGAAGTTTCTCAGCTCTCATCAGATGGAGAGCGACCTGACAGAGGAGATTTCGCAGGTGGTGGAGATTGATGCAGCTCCACAGAGTCCAGATAGTGCAGTATCCATGAGAGTGCCGACCGAGGTGACGCCAGGCGAGCACGACGGTGATGCGGAGGATACGGGTACTCATGAGCAGGATCAGGGACCGACGGCTCAGGTTCAGGATTCTATTGCAGCACGGAGACAGAGGAGAGACATACGGGTGCCAGCACGGTATGCCGACACAGTTGCATATGCACTTCCAATGGAGAGTATTGATGAGATGGTGCCTACTACATTCAGAGAGGCCGAGCAGAGTTCGGAGGCTGATTCGTGGCAGGTGGCTATGCAGGAGGAGATGGAGTCTCTTCACAAGAACGATACATGGAAGCTTGTAGAGCTTCAAAAGGGGCGGAAGGCGATTGGGTGCAAGTGGGTGTACACGAAGAAGGAGGGCATTGAGGGCACTCCAGTGAGATTCAAGGCTAGGTTGGTTGCGAAGGGCTATGCACAGGAGGAATGTATTGATTACAATGAGGTTTTCTCTCCGGTGGTGAAGCACTCTTCGATTCGGATTTTGCTAGCTTTGGTGGAACAGTATGGTTTGGAGTTAGATTAGTTGGATACGAAGACGACATTTCTTCATGGTGATCTTGATGAAGAAATATATATGACTCAGCCATTGGGATTCCGAGCTGCAGGGAAAGATAAGTTGGTTTGTAGGTTAAAGAAATCGCTATACGGTTTGAAGCAATCTCCTCGACAGTGGTATAGGCGATTCGATGGTTTTATGCTTGGTCATTCGTACACTCGGAGCCAGTTTGATCCTTGCGTGTATTTTCGCAAGTTGAGAGGAGGTGCGTACATTTATTTGTTGCTTTATGTCGATGACATGTTGGTTGCTTCTAGTTCCAGGTCAGCTATAGATGAGTTGAAAGTTCAGCTTTCGAATGAGTTTGAGATGAAGGACTTGGGCGAGGCGAAGCGCATTTTAGGGATGGAGATCGGTAGAGATAAGAAGAAGGGCAGAATTTGTTTGACACAGGTGGCTTATTTGAAGAAGGTTCTACAGCGATTCCATGTTAGCATGGATACGAAGCCAGTTGGTGTACCTTTGGGAGCCCATTTGAAGCTTTCAGCTGGCCTTTCACCGAAGTCAGTTGAAGACCGTGAGTTGATGACGGAGACTCCATATGCGAGCGCAGTTAGGAGCTTAATGTACGCGATGGTATGTACGAGGCCGGATTTATCACAGGCGGTGAGCATGGTGTCGAGATACATGCACGATCCAGGAGTGGGTCATTGGGACGCCGTGAGATGGATTTTGAGGTATATTCGAGGTACGCTCAATGTTGGTTTGGTTTATGAGCGAGACACTACAGGTGGTCAGTTGTGCATTGGATATGTTGATTCGGATTATGCCGGGGATTTGGATAAGCGTCGGTCTACTACGGGATATGTGTTTACTTTGACCCGTGCGCCGGTGTGTTGGAGATGCACCTTACAGTCGACGGTGGCTTTGTCTACGACGGAGGCAGAGTATATGGCAGTTACGGAGGCTGTGAAGGAGGCTATTTGGCTTCGAGGACTTTTGGAGGAACTTGGTATATCGCAGAGGTCCGTCACTATTCATTGTGATAGCATGAGTGCTATCTATTTGGCGAAGAATCAGGTTTTTCATGCGAGGACGAAGCACATTGACGTTCGTTATCACTTCGTTCGGGAGAGAGAGAGAGAGAGAGAGAGAGAGAGAGAGAGACGTGAGGGCTTTGGCCTTTTTAGTTATTGTGTTCCTTTCTCCTTTTATAGTGAAATCTATCGGATACCTCTGCCATGGACAGGTGGAGAATTGTGAAAACGGCGAAGGAATTGTGAAAAATGTGAAGAATAACCCAAAACAGACTCCACTACACCCTGGTGTGGTGTCTGCCATGGGTGTGGTAGAATCTGTCCTGCAACACACCCTCTGCCACACCCACGGTGCAGGGTGTGGCAGAATCTGCCCTGCACCACACCCTCTGCCACACCCATGGTGCAGGATGTGGCAGACTCGTTTTTAGAATCCTCCTTTGTATGAGAATCTTCCTTTGTTTGGGATTGTGTTTTATTATAAATAGGACCACGTTTTTTAGGGTTTCTTAAGGAGAGAAAAAGAGAGAATTAGCATTGTTTTGAGCACTTTGAGAGGGAGATATTGTAAGGGAGTTGAGAGCTTTGGTTAGGGTTATATTTGAGTGATTTTGTGAGTTGTAACCCGTTGTATTTCTCCTCCATATAGTGAAATCTCCCCATCCTCTCCCCGTGGACGTAGGCAAGTTGCCGAACCACGTATATCTCTGTGTTTGGTTTGATTTGTCGTAATTGGCTTGGTTTGTGCAAGTGTGTGGCTTTCTTCTTCCGTGATCTCAAGTTCGTTGTGTGTGCGTGCAACGCTTCCGCATAGGCGCGCGACATCAAAGTCAAAGAATATTTCATAGGATCATGGTGAGGAATTTTCTACTAAACAAAAGAAGAACAGGAAATAAAACCATTGAAAATTGTTCTACTGAAATTCATCCAACAAGAGAACCAAACCAAGCACTAAGCAGTACATGGGCGAAGTTAAGCAGGAAAATGCTAAGACTCAAACATGCAATCTACTGATTGCTCAGAGATCAGGCATACTCTAATGCTTTCCTCAAGAATCCACGAGGCCTGCACAAAGCTTCCAGTGGCTGAGACTTGTGCACAACGAGCCCAACACCTTCACCCAAATCAACCTCCTTACTCCCTGTATCCCACTCAAAACACTGAACTAAGGCTCCAACAGCCAATCCTACGACCCTCATGGCCATCCCTTCACCAGGACACCCTCTCCTCCCCATCCCAAACGGCATCCACCCCTCTCTCCCCGCACCTCCCATAAATCTATCCGGCTTGAAACTGTTTGGATCCTTCCACCTCTGTTTATCTCGATGTATCGCCCACGCATTGACGAGCAACATAGTGCCTCCCGGCACGTGGAATCCTCCGACGTTGCAGTCGTCAGAAGACTCGTGGGAGGGGATGATGGGAGCTGGAGGGTGTAGGCGGAGCGTCTCGTCGATAATGCAGCGGAGATACGGGAGGCTGGGGAGGTCGGATTCGGATACAATGCGGTGGTTGCCAACAATGAAGTCGAGCTCAGCTCGGAGTTTGGAGATGATGTGGGGGTGGTTGAGCAGGAGAGACATTGCCCATTCTATTGTCACCATTGAAGTGTCGGTGCCCGCTGCCAGCAAAGTCTGCATGCGATGTTTGAACATGTTAAGGTAATTGTTAAATTGCGAGATATTATATAATAATGTAATATTAAGCACTATGATTGTGTTTATGAAATAAAAGTGATGATTAAGCATAAAACGTCTTCCACGAGGAGTATAAGGACGTGTTATTACAAGTAGTTCAATGCTTTTTATGAACATTTTATTATATAGTAACACAATTTTGTACATTGTGCTTGATTTTCTAGATAACATGTATTTAAGCTATTGTAACTTACGAGATCTTTCAAAGCTTACGAGATATGATTTCATTTGGTTAACTAGAAGATATTGTTGTCCTGGTTCAGTAATAAGTATAAAGCAATACCTGTTCTACTGTGAGGACACGCTAGGAATTTACTAAGGCTATGTTTGGGAATGTTGATTTGGGCTTGGATTTGAAATTCTGGGTATTTCAAATCCAAATTTTATGTTTGGGCTCAACTTTGAACCATGATTTTAAATCAAGTCATTTTATACAATGGATTTGAAAAGCCCAAAAAGTATGGATTTCAAATTTGGGCACAATACTTGTATTTGCCAAATCCTCACCCACGAAATCCAACCCCTCAAAACCCGACTCCTCTTTTTCTCCTCTCTCACGCCGCCCGACTCCTCTTTTTCTCCTCTCTCATGCCTGGATCTCGATCTCCATCTCCATCTCGATCTCGATCTCCATCTCCATCTCAAAGCTCGATCTCCATCTCAAAGCTCGATCTCCATCTCAAAGCCCGACTGGATCTCGATCTCCATCTCAAAGCTCGATCTCGATCTCGATCTCGATCCATCGCAGGTACCTCTCCTCTCTCCCTTTCTTCTCTCTCGGTTTTGGTCTCCCCCTTTACTCCTCTCTCTCCCCCTTCCATCGAAACCTAGATCTGATCTGACTTTGGCTTTTCTCTTTTGTAGCTAGTTTTCTCCATCTCAAACCTAAATTTTTTTTGGTTGGTTTTTGGGATCTGAGGATGTGGGATTCCTTTGTTTGGGGTATCTGAGTGTGTTCTCATACTGTTTTTTTTTTACTTCCAGTGCTGGGTCCCTAGTTGTTATGATGCATGGTTGATTAGATTGGTTCAATTTGCCCATATATAGTCTATTGATATTATCTAAGGGAGGGTGATTGTGTGATGTAAACGTGGGCTTGGTCCCTCTTGTATTTATTTGGTGATCATTTTAATGGAAGGGATACATCCTCGATCGATGCATTTTTACTAGCCGCGAGATTTTGGTTTGTTTACAGCTTATGTGTGAGTTTTGTGGTCATATGTATTTCTTTGGGGGGAGACAAAGGTGTAACTATTGGTGGGTGATGTGTTGGCATTTTGGGTCTGTGGGCAAATTGAAGGATGCATTGTATATTAATGTCATCCAATACTTGTTTTCACACAGACTGACTTTTAAATTAACATAATTTAGTCTAGATCTGTGTTTGTTTCTTGAGAAATAACAAATGTTAGGACTAATATCTTAACCAAGTGATATTTCTGTTCTCCAGTCAACTAATATTGTGTTGATGCATTTGTTCGAAAAGAAATTCTAGGTTCGGACATGACTTGATGAAGTACAGTATTAATTTAGATATCAAATCAAATACGTAATCCATCTATGATCATTAGCTTGTTCTTATGTGGAAAATTAGAAAGTAAAAAAAAAAAAAACTAGTTGGTGAATGATTACAAGCAATCATTGGATTATAATGGCTCATAATATGTATAATTGCAAAAAGTGACTGTTGTTGTTGTCCATTTAAAGCAATAATATCCATTTAAAGCAATGAACTGTCCATTTACTTCATATTTAGAACATGAAACTTATTGTGCAAATGTGAGATTAAGAGGGAGATGTCATGCTGGATCTCTTCAAAGATACTATGCTAGATCTCTAACATATGTGAAAAGCTAGTTGATTTATTGCCATGACCTTCCTTTAATTTAATTCATGTAGTGAGGATGCCTGATATCAATGAGTTATTTCGTTTTCTGCTAACTCTGGTTTGTGTGCTTTTTTCTTTTTAGTAAGAACTCCAAGCCGCAAATTGAGCACTTCTTCAAGCTCTTCTGATTGCCTTCTCATCCGTCAACAATTGCAGGTAATTTTACTGTTATTTTAAGTTTGTTATGTTCAGTTCAACTCTCATCTTGTCATCTCATATATACTTTAATCATTGTCATGGACCATCTTATAATTTATAAGTACTACAGGGCTATAGTGTGATATGCTTCAGCTTTGCTTGAATTAATGGTTCGATCTCATGCGATTGAATAGCATTTTTTGTTAAAGATTTCAGTAAAGAGAACATGTTCTCTCATGTGATGTTAATTTTGTAATGCATCTAGTTTGTAAGCATCGTGCATCTTGCTGTAATTTGAAGGTCAGATTGGTCTGGTTCTTTAGACTGCTGCATTTTATTTTTATGATTATAATAACTGTCAGAAATAGTAATCATGTTAAAGAAAATTTCTGATGACAGGAGTCAGGACTAGAATGGTTAAAGTTGCGTTCTATTGAAATCTTAGGCACTGGCTAAAGAATTAATAATCGTTGTCACTCATATAAATGACAGCCTATAATGGTAGCAGTTTAAAGACTTTGTTTAGAAAACCTTTATGCCCAATTATTATGCAAATTATACCATGTATGTGTGCATGTAAATGGAAACTTAATTATGTTATTAGCTTATAATGTTATTATGCAAATTATCCTATTGGCCTATAATGTTATTAGCTTCAAGAGGTACCAATTTACATGCACATATACAAGATATAACTATGGAAACTTAATTATGTACTTAACCATGTCATTGTTGTCTGCTTGTCAACACGGAAGAGACAAAATATTGACAAAATATTGTTATTACCAAGATTGTTTCCTTTTTGCAAAGTTATAATATCCATTTGCTGTGGCATTCATGATGATCGAATATGCATATACAGTTATGGTCAAATGATCCTACTCCTTGCTTGGCACTTTGTTAATCTGTGCATATGTGCATGTTTCAATCTACTTTTTGGATTTGGTATCCTGCATGATCAATCATATGAAAGAATAATATCTATATATCATGTTTAACTTGTGGGTAAGGTCTAATTTATGCCCAATTTAATTAATATATCTGCTATCATCATGAAGCATATATAGGTGAGGGGGTTATATGAAATTTACCCAAAAATGGCAAATTGACCACAAATTCTTCTTATCTGATAGTTACTAGTATGAAACCATCATGCATGCTCAACTCCCTAGCTGGAGTTAAAAGTACTACCATTTGTTATCAATTATAATCTATATTTAGGAGTTCTCAAGATAAATTATGGCCAATAATATTTGTACAGTGCTTTATCTGTTGTTGTTAAGATTTCTATGTCTTGAGTTGTTTTTTCTTAGGATTGCATTAAATTTGCATCTTGCTAAATATATATTCAGGATATATGCGTAATCTGCTTGCATGTTCAACTTTTAATGTGATAGGTTAAAAATGGTAAATGATGAAAGGGATTCAAGGATCCAACTTAAACGTACAAGGGAAGAATTTGAGAGGAGAGAGGATGATGACATTATTATGGTAGTGGTCAGTTTTATAGTTGCTGCCATTGGTGCTTGGTACTATACAAAGCACATGTTGAAGGAGAGTTCAAGAACACACGAAGAAGAGGATGAAAGGACATACCTTAGAAAGTCTTGGATTCGAAATCTTATTTGCAATGCAAATAACTGTGTTGAACAACTAAGGATGAATCCTCAAGCGTTTAAGAGGTTATGTGATGTTCTATGTACTAGAGGGGGATTAGTAGCATCAAGAAATGTCACGATTGAAGAAATTGTCGCTATGTTTTTGCATATTTTAGCTCATAATGTAAAAAATAGGACAAACAAGACAGATTTTTATCGTTCAAATGAAACAATTAGTCGGCAGTTCCACAAAGTACTTCAAGCAGTCATGAAGATAGGAAGCCTCTATATTAAACAAGAATATACAAATCCTAATGAGAGAGACATAGAGAAGTGGAAATGGTTTGAGGTAACTATGACTTCTTTTATTAAGGTTTTCATGTTTAGTACTTTTGTTTAATAGAACTAATTGTAAGGTTGTGCAATTTTAGGATGCTATCGGGGCACTTGATGGGACTCATATCCAATTAACTATTCCTTTGGAAGATCAAAGTAGATATCGAAATAGAAAAGGAGAGAACAGTACAAATGTACTTGGTGTTTGTGATGCCAATTTAATTTGAGATTTTCATATGTGCTACCTAGTTGGGAGGGTTCACCTTCAGATTCTCGTGTTTTGCGTCGGCCCAATGGCTTGAAACTTCCCTCAAGTAGGAATATATATTTTTTAATTATTATATATGTATTGCTTCCTAGTTTTTACATTGTTGTGACTGAAGATTTTGATTTTGTAGATAAATACTTTCTTGTGGATGCTGGGTATACAAATGGGCCGGGGTTTTTGGCACCTTATCGAGGGACTCGCTATCATATAAAGTCTTGGAGAGAAAATGGTCCAAGAAACTACAAGGAGTTATTTAACCAACGTCATTCCTCTGCTAGAAACACAATTAAGAGAGCATTCGGATTGCTAAAAAAGCGATGGGCTATATTACGGACAGCTAGCTTTTATAGTGTTAAGACTCAAATTAGGATCATTAATGCATGTTGTATTCTTCACAACTTTTTACGTGAAGAGATGAATGAAGACGACTTGTTGAATGATGTGGATCGAGAATTAGAAGATTCTCCTGTTTTAGAAATTGAGAATGTAGATGATGAGCGTATCACCACTGTGAGAGTTACAGATGAATGGAGCAACTTTAGAGATAATTTAGCTATGCAAATGTGGGATGAATACCGACTTTAAGATAATTTAGCTACAAGATGGAAATGAGGGTGACGAGTATGAAGAAGATGATGAGTGGTTGTGAGATTTTTATATATGCAGTGTAGTTTCTGTTTATGCAAATGTGAGATTTTTATATATGCAGTGTTATTATTATTATTAAGAATTTACTCTTAGCTTTTGTACTTCAGAATTATGTATTAACTTTTTGATACATAACACATTGATGGTAATTAGTCTTCTTTGTCATCTCCTCTGCATGACCTCGCCGTCATGTCATTTGTTAAGTTCAGCATTAGACAACAGGATCTAGTTCTCGCATGACCATGTGATGATAAAGTTGTCAACTCAATTCTGAGTATAAACAGACTCAATTCTAGATAACCCTTTTAGACACGGAGATGGATTCAGGTGAATATATACTTAGTAATCTGAGTGTTAACTTAGATTATATATGTCAGAATCAAGATTTTAGAAGTTCAATTGTGGCTAGAGTTTGTTCGCTTGGTTGTAATTGTGATTGTAATGCAGGTGGCAATTGGATGTGATCATTTCAATTGATCTATTTGTATGCAGGTCATTGATCTATTTGTATGTTACTTGGTACCATCATTAAGTTGTTCTAAGCTGAAGTAAAGTAATGTTATGTCTATATTGTTAAAAGAGAGGAAGACTAGAATCCATTACATCTACCAATCCTGAATCAAGGCCTAGAAGATCACTGTATCAGTTTCTGGTACTCCAGGTATACCTCCAGGTATATGGGTTAATTGCAGACTATGGTTGTATTAAAGACCTACGTTGCATACATATATCTTTTGCACGATTAAGATTTAAAATTTTTTTCGCTCCAGGATACTTTCTCACTTGTAGCCATCACCTTTTTCTCGTGCCTTCATTCTACAATGTCGAAGGTTCATTATTAATCAACCTTTGTGCTTTATTACTAATTCTGTGTCATTCACTTTGGTATGTATTAGGATGACAAAGAAAGGGAAACAAATTGCATCTCATTCAAGATCATATGTTGTGTGGAATCGTGATATGGACGCAGCTTTAGCCAATGTGTTGTATGATCAAATGAACCAAGGATTAAAAGTCGATGGTACTTGGAAGCCTCAAGTGTATCAAGTTGCGGTTGATGCATTAAAATCATTTAATAGCAACTTGAACAAAGATAACGTGAAAAATCGACTCAAAATTTGGAAAACCCATTATAATGTTATCTATGACATTAAAAATAAAAGTGGTTTGACGTGGTGGGATGATGAGAAGAAAATGGTGATTATACCCGCTAGTGAGCAAAAAGTATGGAACGACTATGTTACGGTAATATTGCACTTTATATTTATTAATTTGAATTATTAGTTTGTTGCATATATCTAAAAAATATTTGTGAATGTTCTTATATTGCAGGCTAATCCAGATGCAAAAGGCTACCAGAATCGTTTGATTAAAAATTAGGATGATATTATGGTGTTATGTGCAAAAGATAGAGCCAACGGTGAAGGTGCAGAAACTTTTGAAGAGGCTGCTAACACAATGCAACATGATGAATCTGTGGCACAATCTGAAACAAACGAAGATGGAAGCTCTTCAAGGAAACATCTTCCTGGAACATCAACTAGTGGTGAGACAAGTTCAAAGAAACAAAAGAAGGGGGATAAATTGGTTGATTCACTTGCAGTGATGGCAGCTTCTGTGACTGAGTATTTTAATGAGAGAAAGAAGGAAGTAGTAAGAAAACCACCAACCGGTGAGGAGATTCATCACGTGGTCTCAAAAATACCCAACTTAAGTCGCATTCAAGTGTTCAAGGCATTTGAGAAGCTAATGGATAGCAACCCGGAAAAATTTTATTTGTTGAAGTCACTTCCTGATGATGAAAAAAGAGATTTTATTCTCTTTATTCTTAAGGAGTAGCTTCTAGTTGGATGGCAAGAACCCCCAAATCTTTGAACCCATTCGAGTAAGTTCTCTCTTGGATTTCTTTTTCTTTTTTAGGCATATTTTAACTCTCATTATTTTGTCATTTATGTTAGGATGCAAACTTATAGTTGTGACTTTTAGAGTGAGTGATGCTGGCTACGGGGCTTATCGGCTTTTATTCTTCTGCAGGTTTGACCTAAATTTTAAATAGATGACTTGTGAGTTGGTTACATTCTGCTGTTAATGTTGGTTTGACCTAAATACCTGTATTTTCATAGCTGACTTGTGAGTTGGTTACATTCTGCTGTTAATGTTTCTGGTTTCGTAATTTCTTAGTAATACTATAAATGCTTAGGTTAAATGTTTCTTAACATTCTTTTAGTTACCTACCCGAAGTTATTTTACCTAAATTTTAAATAGATTATGAGCTTATATTGGTGATACTGGCTATACCGGGCTTATCGGCTTTTATTCTTCTGCAGGTTTGACCGTCCAAGATCTTTGAAGCTTGGTAGTAGATGGTTGATCAACCTGCACCGTTGAACTTTAGCATTTTCTGAAACTTCATCTGATTATGTTGTTATTCAGTACTTATAATATTTTCGCTTTGCTGGAATTATGTTTTCTTTTCCGAGGACACAAGTTTGGTGATGATTGGAACTTCCTAGTGAGCAAATTTTGTAGCATGTTGAAGTTTTTTATTTATCAAACTCGTTTTTAACTGTTGGCCTTGAGCAGAAATGTGGGTTGGTTATTTATCAAACTCGTTTTTAACCGTTGGCCTTGAGCAGAAATGTGGGTTGGTTATTTTGTTGCTTGCTGTTGATGTTTCTTCGAGTGATTTAATATTTCTGAATATCTTTTCTGATTGTGATTGCGGAGTTCTGGTTTCTTATTATTATAAAATTATGAAACCGAAATGACTTGGTAACGTGTGACGTTGAAAAATGTTCCAACAGGAGCTGGAATGAAATGACTTGCGGTGATTTTCAGCTTTAGCGTGGAGTAGGAGAGCATAAATTATTAAGGAGTTAAGAGAGAGCATAAAATTTTTTAAAACACCAATTTCAAATCCAAATTCATGTATAATAAAGTGCATCCAAACATCAGATTTTAAATCTGTGATTTCAAATCCTTGCATTTAGTGATGACATCCAAACAAAAGATTTTATCAAATCATGGATTTCAAATTCTAGATTTGAAATTCCATGATTTTAAATCAACTTCCCAAATCCAAATCAACATTCCCAAACATAGCTGTAGGCTGTCTAAAAATCACAATAGATAGTTAATCCCCCATCAAACACCGATGACGGAAGTTACAATCTGACGACTTCCAGAAGGCTACAATTTGAGGACTTTCACGTAGAAGGTTACAATCTGACGACCTTCACAACAACTAATGAAGGCCCCAATTCAACATCATTCACAATCAACATCGGGAGTTACAATCTGACGACTCTCATATTTTCAAGGAGCCAAGACGAAGATTACAAGAGGACGATCTGTGCAAAGCTCTAGCAAAAGAGACTACAAATTGACGGTCTCTTCATATTAAAATGCAGATATCTCTCAAACCGTAAGGAATTTGGCAAAACGGAGGAAGCGAACCGAAGCCTTCGGCTCGGTTCGGATGGCCCCGTCTCGTCGAGATAGCCGATTTTCATATATAATTCGTCTAATTCCGACTTACGGTTTGAAAGTTATGACCTGTTCTTCGCAGCAAATTATGTTCTGAGGTCCGTCTGCAAGACTGGACTTCATCAGAACATTGGACTTAGCCTGAAGCCCGCCAAGCCCGCCTAAGGTTCGCCTCTGCATTACAGAGTCAAAGCGCACATGCTCAACTCTGCGTTTTCAACATCAAAACGCAGAGTTAATCGCTAAAACAGCACAACTGTGCGTTTTCAGCCTTTAAACAGGCTCAACTCTGCGTTTTCAATCTAGAAACGCAGAGTTAATCTTTAAAACAGCACAACTGTGCGTTTTCAGCCTTTAAACAGGCTCAACTCTGCGTTTTCAATCTAGAAACGCAGAGTTAATCTTTAAAACAGCACAACTGTGCGTTTTCAGCCTTTAAACAGGCTCAACTCTGCGTTTTCAATCTAGAAACGCAGAGTTAATCTTTAAAACAGCACAACTGTGCGTTTTCAGCCTTTAAACAGGCCAACTGTGCGTTTACAGGCCAATTGTGCGTTTATGGGCTCAACTGTGCGTTTTTAGCCTGAAACAGGCCAACTGTGCGTTTACAGGCCAACTGTGCGTTTATGGGCTCAACTGTGCGTTTTTAGCCTGAAACAGGCCAACTGTGCGTTTACAGGCCAACTGTGCGTTTACGGCTCAACTGTGCGTTTATGGGCTCAACTGTGCGTTTTTAGCCTGAAACAGGCCAACTGTGCGTTTACAGGCCAACTGTGCGTTTATGGGCTCAACTGTGCGAGCTGTGCGTTTTCAGCCTTAACTGTGCGTTTACAGGCCCAGCTGTGCGTTTTCAGCTCCAGCTGTGCGTTTTCAGCCTTAACTGTGCGTTTACAGGCCCAGCTGTGCGTTTTCAGCTCCAGCTGTGCGTTTTCAGCCTTAACTGTGCGTTTACGGGCCCAGCTGTGCGTTTTCAGCCTCATATGTGCGTTTTCAGCCCCAGCTGTGCGTTTTCAGCCTCAACTGTGCGTTTCAGGTCCAGAAACGCACAGTTCGAGCCCAGAACGCTGTTTTCAGCGTTTAACTCGTTCAAGCACGATTTGAACGGTTCCAGAACCGTTTTCTCCCCAAGATTTTAGGGGATCACTACCCTATCATGGAGAGATTTATGGGGAGCAGTTAGACCCCATTAAACCCTCATTAAGGAGATATTTAAGGGGGCGGTTATACCCTTAACCCCCTATAAATACCTCAAAACTCAACTGAGTTCAGATCCTCTTTTTTTTTTGAGGGGGGGGGGAGCTGACTTTTTGGGGATCCTTGATCGAGCATCTTGCCGCGTTCTGCAGCAACAAGGAGTTTTGGAGACCAGCAACAGGAGCTTCTTCCTTGGCTTATTAACCGAACTTTCGGTTCAAATCAACTCTTTTTTCAAGAGTTCAAACTCGTTCAGAGTTATCAACTCGATCAGAGTTCAAAACTTGCTCTGCAAGTTCTTCTAAAACTCGTCAGAGTTATCAACTCGATCAGAGTTCAAAACTTACTCTACGAGTTCTTCTAAAACTCGTTCAGAGTTATCAACTCGTCAAGAGTTATTTCAAAACTTGCCACGCAAGTTCTCCACAGCGTCAAATCGTGAGGAGAAGACATCGTTCCAGTGAATCAAGACGTTCGGATCGTCAACGAGAAGCAAACTCGACGCGAGCATTCGAGGGAGGCATCTCATCGCCACCGTGAAGAACCCAGAATTAAACAAAGGGGAGAATCAAATTCATTCTCCTCTCTTTTGTAATCGGAATCCAAATTGTAATTAATTTTGAGAGGAATACAAGTCAAATTTTTCTTTCATTATTTCTTTTACAGTAAATTTTCCAACAAACAATAGCCTAAAGATATTAGATTCTGTGTTTGTTGATCTATATAATTCTAACGGTTAATTTCACTATATTCCCCTTCTTTTTTTCAGTCTCAAGGAATAATTTCAGTTATGTTTACTAAGACACCCTCGGTATTTTGATGTTCTCGCATCTATTCCCTTGGTAAGTTTGTAATGTCCCATGATTCAAATGAACGTAGGTACTAGTCCCTTCTATTTGAGACAATGATGTGAATGATATATATATAATTTGTAGTACTGGCGTATCAAAAATATTTCACTACAATTCATTTTAACTAGCAAGGAATCAACTGAATACCATTGTTGCATCTTAAATTAAGACTTGTGATGGAGAGGTTCTGGCCAAAGCATGGATTGCTGTCCGCTTACCAAAAGGCCTAATTTTCTGAAATTAAGTATAGGAATTCAGACCAAAACATTTTTATTTTTATCCATCTTATCTCAGTTCCAAGTAGTGATTCTCCACTACCAAACCCAATATTTTTCAGTCCTGTTCTGATAATACTCGATTCAAAAAGAAAAGAAACTGTCAAAAAAGTGCAATAAACATAATCTAAACGTAAAATCTAATACCTGAAGAAAAAGGTGGATACATGGAAAACACATCTTTAAAACTGAAAAAGAACTGAGATCAAGCTCTAAGAAAATCTTACAGAAGTATAACTAATTCCCTGCAGGTTACCGGTAGTAAGGAAAGGTAATTTCCAGTCAACTGGAGTACTCCTATTACATCATAAATTAAGAGTGGCACATTAGAGTTTTCGGCCACGGTACAAAGGGATTTCCATCAGTTGAAATTCCTAATTTGCTGAAATCAAACTAAAGGTTTATGCCAGAATGTTCTGTTTAGCTGCGTGACTCAGTTTCGACCAGACAAAAATTCAAAATGCTTGATCTGATTCCAACTTGTGAGTAATGACCCAAAAAAGAAAAATCGTAACGGTATCTGAAAAGGGCTGTAAACTCTGATCCAAAATAAAAAAATGTAATAACTAAAAAAAGCCGTGTAGAGAAAGACCTACCATACCATGTCCTTACATGAAGCGGTTATGAAATTGAGATTTGTGGTTGAGTGAAAGGGTAGCATGTTCATTAAAAATCATGAGAATTTTCATGTTTAATGATTTTGAACTTGTTACCGTAAAGAGATATCCAAATTAGTTTAGGATTATTAAACTTGAAACAGTCCTGTTTTTTTACAATACTGAAACATTCATAGGGAAAAAAATTATTTACAAATATATAAGCACATTGTCAGAATATTTTACCTTGAACACCTATAAATTGTAATATGAATAATTCCAAGTTTTCCCAAAGTTTCTAAGTAATTAATTTAGCAATTTATTATTACTGGCATTCGTGAGATATAATATAGATTTAAGCCCAAAATTTCTAGAAGAATTAGTAAAAGAAGTTCCTTAGGACATTAATTATGTACGCAAGTGTGTACGCAACTTCGGTGTGTAACTGTTAACTACGACCGGCAACCAGAATTCCGAATGCCCAAGACTCAAACAGTAAAATAAGAACATAACCTAGATTTGGCCATAGACTGATATGATTTCAAGAGATTTCAATGTATTTGTGCCTATGATATAAAGATGGCTTCTGTCTTGTTTAATTATATATGCAGGAGTGTTTATGAGGGATGATCACATGTTCCTCAAGATACTAGGAGAAGCAGACGCAAAAGTGTTCACTACTGGAGAGGTTTCTTCGTGAAATCATGTAACTACACCCAATGTGTAGAGAAGAGGGAAGTTGGGTTTTTGTTCTCTCATGTGTTCCCTGCCAACAGTGAGAATCTATATTTATGCTCATGCTCAATCTGTATATGTATGTTCAAGTTATATACTCAGATAACCAAAATATGCATGGACTTTTGTAGAGTATAACAAGGCTACATCTCACCGAAATTGTCCCCTTGATAATGTCTTCAGCATAATTTTCAGGCTCATTTCTTTGCAGTGACAGCATCGCGTCGATAACACTAGTTTTCTTCCCCTCTCTCCCTCCTCCACCTTCTTGTCCCTTACGATCATTATCAACATCATTATTCTTCCTATGCTCATCAAGCAGAGCTTGCGCAAATGCATCTCTCTTCTTGTGCAACCTCAGCAGCTTCTTCTCCCCCATCCGAAGCGCCGGAAAGAAGTCTGCAAGATTTGCTGCCCCGCTCACTTCAAATGTCTCCTCCACCATCTCTCTTAGCATCTTAGCCTTTTCTACCTCGCAGCACCTATTAAACACTTTGCATAGTGAAAATTCAAATATTACAATAATAATAATAATAATAATAATAATAATAAATAGCCTAAATATGATATAGTTACCGATACCTCTTTCCTGTAACCATCGCCATCATCACGTTCAACACCAATTCAAACAACCTTGGCTTCATCTCCACCATCGTATACCCCTGGCCTTCTTCACAGTCTCTAACCAATCCCTCAACCATGGCCTTCACTTCTTCTCTTCGCAACTCTGTAAATGAGTTCAGCCGAGCTGAAGAAAATATCTCGACGGCGGAAATCCTCCTCAAGTTTCGCCAGTGTTGCCCGTAGGATGCCCAAGTGAGAGTAGTATAGTTATAGCCCAAGTGTTTTCCTGCGAGAAGGCGAGGCCGGTTGGCAAAGATGATGTCATTCTTGGAAAAACACTCCTCGGCGAGGGAAGAAGAGGAGATGAGGAGAACTGGGCGGGACCCGAAACGAAGGGAGAGGATAGGGCCGTAGCGCGAAGAGAGACGAGAGAGCGAGTGGTGGATTGGTTTCTTTATGAGATGGAGATGGCCTAGGATAGGAAAGGAGAGAGGAGTGGGAGGCAGGTTTTTGGGCCGGGTTCGTGTTCGGGTTCCTAGAAAGCAGGTTAGGATTATGAGGAGGATGGTAGTGAAGAGAAAGAGAGGAGCCGCAGGTTGGAAGGTTTCCATGATGCTCGCTTCAGTGAGTAATTGTGGTATCTTTTATGGGGTTTGGAATTGGAAACTAGGGACGAGTTTTCTTTGTCTTTTGTCTTGGATTGTGGTATGTTTGATAGGCATTAGGATTAAGTTTTTGCAACTTCTTGGAGAGAGTTTTTGGAATTGGATGTTGAATTTTCCTAGCAATACAGAAGGTTTAAGTCATGGTTAACTTTTAGAAGCGGAGATGGAGAGAATTAGTGGGGTCTAGTTGACACCGACTCTGGTGAGATGCCTTTTTGTTTTGTTGCATCTGATGCTTGGGGATAACGCTTGAGAAAGAGAGATTGGCTATTGAGTGATGCCCCCAACTTCAGGATAGGAAATTTTACATTATTTGAAAGCTTTGTTACAATTTCACAGGTGTCTCTTCACATCAAGACAGAAGTGGCCTTTGCTTATGTGATTCAAATCCAAGAAGAGATGCAGCCGCGTGAGATCTGATATCTACATCTACAAAGATTGACACTTGTAGTGAATGGGGGGGGGGAGGGGGGGGGGATGAAACATTCATACAAGAAAACATGGTATGCAGCCAAATGAATATGTGCGTATCGCTTATGGCATATTTGGAGGGAAGTTTACAGACAGTAGTCAGGTAGAATTTGCATGCGTAGTTCTATCAATTACTTCATACTTGACAGGTTTTTTGAATGAGCTAGAGACTCAGCCAAAATGCAACCAACATACTATGCATCAATGGAGAGGACTTGCTCGATGATATTCTCAATGTATCCAAGGGGTAATTAATCTGTTAACTTTATCTTAATTGATAAGTCGGTAAATTTATAGCTGATTGTGGTTCTCTATAGATTCTGGTTATGGTATTATAGACTGTATGGAGGTTGAAGGATGTTGGCTGAGAGACTTCAAACATGTTAACGAATTGGTCATAGAAGGTGTGGCTCATCAAGTAACTGAAGCCGGTTTGCGTAGCATTTGTGAGTCGATTATTTGCGTATTTGCTGCATCAATGAATAAAAGAAGATACTATCACACTTTTATAATGGCTATAACTATGGTTGAAAGGCTGGAGGGAAGTAATAGTGCAACTGTATTAAACCTTTAATAGATTATTGTATAGAGGGTATATATGTAAAACTGTAATATCTCTTCCTATATATGCAATTATCGGCTCATGCTAGGGTTATGCCGAACCCTATTACCAGATTCTCTCTCTTCCTCTATCAATAATCTCACATGGTATCAGAGCTTCAGGTTTAAAACCCTAGAATCATGGCGTCCTCTTCGCTGAGTTTCTTAGAGACCTCGATCTCAACTTCGACACCTTCCCTAATCTGGGCTTCATCCTCCTTGACCTCGACTTTGTTAACACCTCTGTTCTCGTCCATCCTGACCTCTGATCTCTTCAGCCACGCCTGGTGCATTGAATGGGGCTGCTCCATCGGTGCCACTTCTTGCCAACGTACTTCCTACTTCATCTTCTTCCACTCTCCCACAAAATTCACATCCTATGCAGACTCGATCTAAGTCGGGTGTTATAAAATTGCTTCATCTCTTGTCTCTACACACAACCCTCATTGCCTCTGAACCAACTAATTTGACACATGCTTCAAAAGATTTAACTTGGAAAAACACAATAGCAGATGACTTTAATGCACTTATCAATAATAACACGTGGCATTTGGTTCCGTTTGATGAACAAAAAAATTTGGTTGGTTGTAAATGAGTTTACAAGATTAAACATAATTCGGATGGTTCTATCGAGTGGTAGAAAGCTCATTTGGTTTCTCAGGGTTTTCATTAGCAAGCTGACGTTGATTTTCATGAAACTTGTAGTCCTGTTATCAAATCTACTATTATTCATCTTGTGATCTCTTTGGCTATTTCCTTTAGCTAGGTTATCCGTCAACTCGACGTTAAGAATGCTTTTCTGCATGGTCTTTGTTGATACTCGTGAACAAACAGTCGATGAGGGTTTCAGAGTAGCTAGATTGTCGAGAGGGATGGATCGTCGAGAGGGTTGGAGGGCCGCTTTCCTTCTTTGACTTTACGTCTGGTTCTTAGAGCTCGGGGCGGGCAAATCACCTGCACATACAAGAATCACTGGAGTATGGGGCTTGTTTCCCCCGTGGTAACTCCAATGGTCAAGTCAGCTAAAGGACTTAGGTGGATCCGTCAGAGAATAGGGTATATCCTTAATATGCGACTATATGACTTATTTTTGTAGTCAGAGAATTCGAACCTCTTTTTAGGATGAATATCATCTCTATTTATAGAGGATGCCAAGCGCAGAACATGCATTTTAGTGAGAAGACGGCTCATGATGATAGGGAGGGGTGAGCTGAAGGCTGAGTCACCCTCTGCCTAACACGCGTCAGTTGATGAATGAGGGGGGTCACTTTAGGGACACAGGGACTCAACAACTAATGAGGCTTGTCAGTAGGTGACGTGGGGTCACTTCTGTAGTATAGGGACCCTGCATCCGTCGTGGCTTGTCGACAGGCGATGTGGGGTCATTTCTGCAGCATAGGGACCCTGCAGCCGTCGTGGAGTCATAATGGTGTTTATATTTGGTAAAATGAGGCTGAGAAATAATGTTCTGAGTCAGCCTTAGAGGAAGAGTCGGGTGATTACTGAGTCACAATCTGTGGGCCGACTGCGTCCGCCCTTCGAGTCGTCTTTAGGGAACGAGGTCGGTTCGACCGAGTTTGTTCCTAGGACAACGTGTTTGTGAGGAACAGGGGACACCCTATAACAGTTAGTCCCTTTCGCTTGGATGGGCTGTGGACGGGTACAAGGGAAAAGTAAATGAATAGAGACCGAGTAGAGCTGATTCTGACAGTGGAGTGGTGTCCTTACTGGACATTTGGACACGTGACGTCATCAGACGTTATTAAGGCTGCCTAAGTTATCTTGTCAGATCATGATTTCTTTGAGAAAAGGAGGCAAAATTTCATTCGGCGGCATTTCAAATTCCGAGGCTAGGTTTAAGCCGTGGGATGAGGAGGGCACCAACGGTTTAGATATGTTGACAACTGTAAAGTAAGAGACCATATATTGCCGTTTGAAATTCTCATCCGATCCAACTACTCCTCTTCTTTAATTGAATCTTCGCCGTTCATTGCAGCGAATTGAGAGTCGTTTGGATTGTTCCATCTATCGATTGGGGGTCTATAAATTTATTTGGAGAAAGGGGAGAAAAAAACATTTTGTCTTTTGCCCTAAGTCTCGTGACGTTTCTTCTCTAGCCCCCAATCTTTCTCCAATCAAGGTTTCTAATGGCTTCATCAAGCTTTATCAGTGGTCGCAGTGAGGAAAGGATCAGTCTCCTTCATTCGATCCACTCGAAGGTCTCTGCTGAGAATCTTGAGAGGTTTCATAGTCTTTACGACATCCATCAGGACTTCAAATTGGCGGTCCCAGAAGGGACGGCCCCAATCTACCACCATGGTCCTGATAGAGTCCCCATATAAGTGGCGCACCTTGAACAGGGACTTCGACTGCCCCTTCATCCCTTTGTGAAGGAGGCGTGTTTGGCTATGGAGATCTCTCCTTCCCAGCTTGCTCCGAACGCAGTGGGAATTCTGATGGTTTTCATCGTCACCTGTTCCAGAGTTGGTGTCTCGCCTTCCATGAAGTTGTTTGGGCAGTTGGTTGGCATCAAGTCGACCAAAAAGACCAACATTTCTTCTTTTATTATACATGTGGCTTCAAGTTAGTTTCTAATGCCCCAGACTCCAACAAGGATTGGAAAGAGCATTTTATCTGGGTTTCTGGAGTAAATGAGATTCTCTCCTGCTCAACATGGCCAGAAAAAAATAAACAAAGACGCCTTGAGATCGGGTCCTCTGGAGGTCGAAGAGAGAAGTCAGCTGGAGAAGATTCGATCCTATACTAGGTCTCGTGAGAGGAGCAATCTATTCGATTCGGCGTCACTTCAGGTGGCGCACGTTTCGGTTGGTTCACCTTCTAAAGCGGACCTAGCTAAGGTAAAGCTGCTGGCACTTCCTCTTCCCAGAATCCAGGAGGTAGGGACTGTAGGTGAGAAGCCAGGCCCTGCTAGTAGGCCCCCAAAAAGACAAAGGGGATACGTAGCTCCTGAGGAGGCGTCCCAGTTGAGGTCCCAGAAGGGTGACTTGGCCGTTGAGCTAGGAGTAGGGAAGAGACCTAAGAGGTCATTCGCTCGATGTCGTGATCCTCCCGTCATGGCTCAGGCTTCTGGGTTGATCCAAATTGGCCCATTTCCGGAGCAAAAATCTATTCGAAGAAGTATCGGTCATCCAGGCAGAGGAGGTCGATACTATTGCCGGTGCTCTAATAGAAGCAGCCGAGCTGGCACCTGAGCCCGTGTCGTCTTGTCGACCAGGCAAAGAGCTAGTTGGTCTGGTAGAGGATACGGCAGGACATGCGGCATCCTACTCCCAGCCCAAAGCAGAGGAGATCGTCGAGTATTATGATGCTAGTGAGAAAGAAAGAGGTCCTTGGCCCATCCCTCATCGGATTTCGGAAGTAGACTTTAAAGAATGGGAGAAGGCCAAGGCGATGTTATTGGGGGAGCCGTTAGGTCCCCATTCTCCGAGACAAGAACTTTCTAAAGATGAAAAGTTTGTCCCTTTGGCTTTTCTGGACAAGGAGACTTCAATTCTTGGATCCTCTTCGACCCCCATTACTGCCGTGCAAAAATTCTCCCTGCGAAGGGACAATCGGGCCTTAAGGAGTATGCCAATCATTGGTTTGCATTTAGCCCTTAAGGCTTATTTTCTCCGAGGGGCCTTGTTGGAGCAGGAGTTGTTCGAGCGGTTCGCTCACATGCATGATGCTCCACAAAGAGTGGGAGTCCCAGTTGGTGGAGGAGAAGGCCGAGAGGTCAAGAAAATGAGAACTAGTTATATTTCCTTCCCATCTTTTTCTAATCATTGTAATCGTGCTTTCGATTTCGTAAGGGGTTAGTGAAGAAGTAAATTCGTCTTGAGTGTTTAAAACTCTCGAATTCCCTTTCCCTTTTCTTTTTGTTTTTATTTTTATTCTTGCTTAATTGAAAGATGATACGGGAACTGACCCTGAGGTGCCTAAGCTTAAGAGAAACAGTTAGGTCTTACCTTTCCCCTAATGCCGAGAGGTGACTGTGGGAGTCGGCCAAAGGGTTATACCTTGGTTTTATCCTGAGGAGGTACCAAGGTCTCTTTGCCGACTAAGGAGTCG